CCAAGCTGGTGTATCATCTGAATAAATACTACAACGAGAAATGCCAAGCCAGGAAAGCTGCCATCGCCAAAACGATCCGAGAAGTCTGCAAAGTGGTGTCGGATGTGCTGAAGGAGGTGGAGGTGCAGGAGCCTCGCTTCATCAGTTCCTTGAACGAGATGGACAATCGCTACGAGGGGCTGGAAGTCATCTCCCCGACGGAGTTTGAAGTCGTGCTGTATCTGAACCAAATGGGGGTTTTCAACTTCGTGGACGACGGCTCCTTGCCGGGCTGCGCTGTGTTAAAGTTAAGCGACGGGCGCAAGAGGAGTATGTCCCTCTGGGTGGAGTTCATCACGGCGTCTGGCTACCTCTCCGCTCGCAAAATCCGGTCCAGATTTCAGACTCTGGTGGCTCAAGCCGTGGATAAGTGCAGTTACAGAGACGTGGTAAAGATGGTGGCGGACACCAGCGAAGTGAAGCTGAGAATCAGGGATCGGTACGTCGTGCAGATCACTCCGGCGTTCAAATGCACGGGGATCTGGCCGCGGAGCGCTGCGCACTGGCCGCTGCCCCACATCCCCTGGCCGGGACCCAACCGGGTGGCGGAGGTCAAGGCGGAAGGCTTCAACCTCCTGTCCAAGGAGTGCCACTCTCTGGCCGGCAAGCAGAGCTCGGCCGAGAGCGATGCCTGGGTGCTGCAGTTCGCCGAAGCCGAGAACAGACTGCAGATGGGCGGCTGCAGGAAGAAATGCCTCTCTATCCTCAAAACCTTACGGGACCGTCACCTGGAGCTGCCGGGCCAGCCCCTGAATAATTATCACATGAAGACTCTGGTTTCATACGAATGCGAAAAGCATCCCCGCGAATCGGACTGGGACGAGTCGTGCCTGGGGGACCGGCTCAACGGGATTTTACTGCAGCTCATCTCCTGCCTCCAGTGCAGGAGGTGCCCGCATTACTTCTTGCCCAACTTAGACCTCTTTCAGGGCAAACCTCACTCGGCCCTGGAAAACGCGGCCAAACAAACGTGGCGACTGGCTAGGGAAATACTTACCAACCCAAAAAGTTTGGAGAAACTTTAGAGGGTAACTATAAAACCGGCCTGACCGATATATCTGGCTTATTTCCCGATGAAATTTAAGCTGCCTGGTCGAAAAGTCAAATATTTCCACCTGACAATGCAAATAATATTCTCTTTTAAAAAGGAATATAGCTTAGGCTCTTCACAAAGAAAAGCAAAGAAGAACAGCAAGTATCCTTCCTCTATCTTCGTCACAGCTTTGCAGTTCCCGTGGAAAAAAAAAAAAAAAAAAGTTTTTTAAAAAAGAGTATGTTACCCGGAAAGCAAAATTGGCCGTAATTTAACATGATCGTGACCATTCTGCCTAGAAACGGTACCAACGGATTATAACAAAACCCGGTATTTTTATGTAAGCCTCTGTGAGTAAAAGCTATTTGGATATGCCACCTGAACAAAACCTAATGTACCTTTTAATTTGTATCAAATATTGTGATCTCACATTGTCTTTGAAATTGTGGATGTTGGTGTTTTGTGATTTGGTGAACAGAAGTTAAATTGCCATTTTGGATACTTCAAGGACATTTTCTGCTAAAGAGAAGATACCCTTTAAAAAGGTAGATTTTATCATGGTACTTTTGTTAATTGTCTTTTGAAGTGTCTGAACTTCACAAGTTTACATTTTTCGTTTCATATATATTGCTTGTTCTATTTCTAACATTCCATAAATATACTTGAAATGTTATTTAAATATATTCAAAAGAAATTTGGATTCTGCTTATATAATAACGCTTGAATATTGGAATTATATATTTGAAAATGCACTTGAAATACACTGGATAATTACCTTTTGTGATTTAGATTTTAATTTCTGTTGCTGATTTATTTAATTACAAGCTAATAAATGAAGTAAAATGCACATGAGTAAGCGTTTCAATGCCGGATCTGAAGAATCAGAGGCAGCTATGTTTTGTGAATTGTGCCTTCTGTTTATAGTTGCTTAAATCCTGTAAAGCAGAAAACTTATGGGCAGCCGCCTGATTCTGCATTTTGAATAGTTTTGTAAGACAGGAGAATATTGATGGTACAAACACACTAGAATTTAGCTCCAGATGACCATCAGCAACTGTCAGGCACCGATGTAGTTTTTAATGCAGTAACACTTTTTCATCCACCAGAAAAGAGATCTGTTTTCGAAAGGTTTACTATACGGCACTGACGTGTGTCTGCTCGGTTTGAACAAAGCTGAGGGAACACAACATATATCTGAAGCAGTCACTGTACTGAGTAAGAAGTGAGCCTGATAAAACTAGTTTTTTTTGGCGCAAGTAGTAATAAAGAAGAAAATAAAATTTATAGGTGAAAGGTTCAAGCCGGCATCAATAAAGTGAACAACAATATTACTTCTGACCTACAAATCCGTTATGAATGTGATAAGGTTGCTAGTTGCACTCCCAGAAATCAAGCCCCTGCGCTCCCAGGGCATTCGGAGGGAATAACATGTGCGTGCCTACAAAACCTCAAACTATCCAAAATTGCCTGTCCGTACTGCAACGCGTGGTCCTAAGTACACATTTCTTTAAACTGGCCTTAAGAGTAAAACGCGTAATAACAACGCTGATTTTGTTTAGTGCCCTAACAGTCAACAAGTGCTGAAAGAGGCCGATCGCCTGTGCAACACCCACAGTTTGTAACAAATATTTCCATTGGGTGCACTTTAACGAAACCGTTATCACCAGCGATTGTGACAGAATCTCTTCTTTCCCAGCACCGCAAAGAAAGTTCAGAGTTCGAGAAATTATTCGTCAAAGAGAAATCACCTTATTATAAACACATTCGGATGAGGTCGCTAGCATTTTCTTGGAAATTATTTCCGATATTTCAGCAAGGAAAAAAACCCAACAAGGTCTTTATAAAAGTACCTCCCCTATTTTCTCTTTCCTAACGTTTTTCAGAGCGATAACAAAGAAATGAAGCAACAGCACTAAGTATAAAAAGGTGCAGGCAAGAGGAGTGCCCTGCAACATGTCCCTTCTGTATGCCCCCTCCTCCCCCCGATGGCAGCCCCCGCTCCGTTCCCGCGGGGAGTAACCCACGCAAAGGTTTCCGCTCAAGTCACGCATCCCCGCTCTGTCGCGGCTGGGCTGGAGGTTTTCGCGGAGGGGAGGGGGGGCGGCGCTGGGGAACTAATAGTAGTAAATGACTTCAGAAAAAAAAATAGAGCTTTCCCAGGAATCAACTCTGGGGTATATGAGTATTTCCTCTTTTT